CCCATATTCCAGATTAAAGAACTTAGGCTCATAGTTCTGAAGATTTGCCCAAGACCTTGGGGCTGGCAAAGTCAGACCTGACCTCAAGCCTTTCTCACCTTGTGTCTTAGGCACTTACCATATCCCAGAGTTTCATTTCATTATATAAGAAAGTTTGTTTTAAAACTTATGGACCACCAAGCTTCACCCAACTTACAGATCCACAGCAGGATAAACACCTGGATGATAACTAGAATTCCATGGTTGGGGCAGGAACAAGGAAAAAGAGGGAAAAATGGAAAGCAATTATCTGAAGAGGACTTTGAATTCTCAGAATGAATTGCCTGTGTTATTTTAACATTGTGTGTCTTAAAATTTTGGAAGACTATATATAGAAATTAATTATTCATGGAATAATTTGCTTTTTTTTTAGCCACAAGTGAATTATACAGTACTAAAAGTGAAATGAGTTCACAGTATGTAATATCTTTCAGAAAAAGAGGCCTTTATGAGAGTCAGAACCTAAGAAAGCATCTGTAAATTGGTAGAAATACATAGAAATAGGGTAATTCCTCTAGATCAGCATTTCTTTGCCTTTAAACAAATGAAGTCAGATCCTGAATTTTGAGATTACAAATAATATCAAAATTATCTTCACAGCTGTGCCACATTTTATTTTTTAAAGTATTATCTTGAAAGAATAATGTTGTTTAACTCAGTTTAATTATTTTAACATTTTTTAGTTTTGGAGAGAAAAAAGTCTCAAATTAATACATTGCTACTTCTTTAGATTCAAGTTTCATATTTGCCTGTTTGACCTCAAAAAAAAAAAAAACCCCCACCAAATTAGTCAATCTGCAAGCATTTACGAGAATCTATCACCTTCATGGATGGTTAAGACCTGTTTTAAACAAGCATATTTCTGCATATAGCTGAAGAGTTTCAATAAAGAGACTATTCTAATTCTCAATCAATACTTGGATGTAAGTGGCTAAAATCAGTATTTATTATTACAACCATAGTATGTGGTGGAATAGAAAATCAGTTGATCAACAAAAAATATTACAGATTTCTTGTTCTGATTGTTACCTTCATGTATCTAGGAAAATCACTTAATTTCTACATGATCAATTATACCCACAGATAAGAGAAAATACCATCTACTCTAAAGCACTATCTATCTACAATATACTCTGAAAACGAGGCAATATTGATGATATATTTTCCCAAAGCAGAGTCTCCTGCACTGGATTGCTTTTATTAGCATTGTATGTAGGTGCAGATATTTTCTGAGACACCAACAATGCTTTTGCTAATGAAACTATTTCCCATAGGTCTTCCAGATTGGAAGGACTGCATAACCATGCTAGAGAGGTTTTCTGGGTAAAATCACATGGATCATGGCAGGGGCTTGGGTTAGAGAACTGGCTTTGGCATAAGAAAACTTGGGCAATTCACTCAAATGCTCTTAGCCCTAGTTTCCTTGACATAAAAAGAAAGACCTCATATGCCTTATAGGGCTCTCATTAGGTTCAAGTGAATAAAGCATATGAATATCTTTATAAATGATAAAACACTAAATAAATATACGTTATGATGATGCTACTACTAATAGAAATATCAGTATAATATAAACATCACTGTCCCATGGTGACTACTCATGGTTCATGGAATGCTACATAATTTTAGTAATAATCCTGATGCTTCAGGATTGAAAGCACACCTCCTAGACCTGGAAAAATTAGGGCCCTATACTCTTATTAACCAAAAAGGGAAAACTGTAATTATGGAACCAGAGTCACATTACTGTGGAAGCAAAGCACCCTCCTCCCCAAATCCCACACATGGCCAGATTAAAGGACTAATGGTAATTAAAGATTGACACAGAGTGAATAAGATTAATATTAGAAAAGGATTACATCAGAAAAGATTTACATCAAAGGATTCTTTCTCTTTTCTCCCACAGAAGGCCTAAGACACAAAAGAAGTCTTATGCAAAACATTCTAAGCCTCTCAGTTATTTTAAAAGAAGCTGAAAAATATGATGAGGTAAGCACAAGTTTCTTCTACTGGAAAATGCTGAAAGTTATAATATGCTTAAGGTTTTACTTCACATATAGGAAACAGCAACATATTGGAGGACAAATTGGGTCATGGATGTCCAGGAACTTGGGAAATGTCTGGAACATCATTGGAGGAGAGCCTATGTAACAGGCAGAATGAGAAGGTACCCAGAAGCCATCCCACAAAATTTTAATACCAACATGTGTCCTTGCTGAGCTACAAAGATGCAAGGTTTTTTGTTTGTTGGGTATTATACACAATGCAGTGGATATATGTCTATGAAATAAACATATAGAATAACACTATATGAACAACAAAAGGAAAGAAACATTTTCAGTGGGGTTGCTCAGGACACTACCAGCTCGGAGCAAAGTCAAGCTTAGGACCCAGCAGAGGTCTGCTCTGGCCTATGAGGTGAGTGGATACCTGGGCCTGAGGGACCATGGGGCATTACTTGGATTTTCTGGGACTGTACCAAACTGGTTTGGTACATTCAGCATTTGTATCTCATGGACACAATTGCATTTATTTAAATATCAAGATCCACGCCATTGGTACAAAGGCCAGTGGTACTGTCATCATCTTTCATCCATTTACCTATTAAACAAATGTTTCTTGAGTACCTACCATGTACCAGGCACTGCTGTAGGGACTTGGGATTACAGTATTGACTAGGAGAACACTGAACTTCAGGATAAAATACAAGGTTATGCGCAGTTGAGGATTTTCGGAAGAAAAGTAAATGCAAGATTTGGCTTCTCCAGGACTCAGATCTATATCTATTTGGGCTGTCATATAGAATTGCCATAATATTACCAAAATACATACAGCACTCAACAGTTTGCTATGTAAATGTTGGTAGTATCATGGCAACACTACTTCATAAAATAGACCTTCTTGAGGGTCTGTGTCTTCAAGAAGCTTACATTTTAGTGCCATACTGATTCTAACAGGACCCATTGCAGTGCTAGGGCCCTACTGCTAAGGTGTGAGTACAAAACAGGAACAAAGTTTTGCCATCAGACAACACTGGCTTGAATGCTGACTGTATTGAGTGCTAGTGCCGTGGCTTGGGTACCTTATCTTCTAAAAGCCTGTATGTCTTCATCAGCCCAAAGAAGATCATAATAGCACCTATGTCCCAGGCATACTGAACATCAAATGTGATATTGTACATGAAGGCACTTTGCATTTTGCAAAGTGCTACATAAATGTTAGTGCTATTATGACAATTTTGTATGCCAGTCCAGACAGATATGGATCTGGGCTCTGAAGAGACCCAGGGCTACATTTTCTTTTCTTTACACAATTCTCAAATGTGCACAGCTTTGTATTTTATTTTTATGTGTAATGATTATTAACTTATAAGAAGGTTCTTAAAAATTCCTAGTATTTTTTACAACTAGAAAATTTCTTTCAGGTGTGTTCTTTATGAGATCAACCTCTGTAGTTTCTGGGTTGTTATGAGGATGAGTCTGTGGTCTCTTTTTTTGCAAGTTGCAAAGATTATAACTTTCTAAGGTCTTTATCTGTGAAATATATTCTTAGCGCAAGTTCCCCCCAAATAGTTTGTACCCTACTAGGTAGGGCCTCTTGGACCATTCTGAATAGGCATATCTATCTGCAAGATAGCTTACACTTTGCTGAAATCTAAAGGGACACAATAATTGTACAACACTATCTGAAATAAAACTATATAATTAATATCTGGATTGAGTTTCCAATTTTTCCTTTTCCTCACATCTGATATTTTGATTAGAATCATCTAATACAATGAACCAATCAATTACAGATGACCTATGATAACTCCGATGTTTTATGAGAAGATAAATGGATTATAGAAAATTCCCAGTATTTATGAACAAGGAGAATTCTTTTCTACAAATACCTACTTCATGTTATATTAGAAATACCATTTTCAATGAATTTACAAACTATCTGGGGGGAACTTGCACTAAGAATATATTTCACAGATCGAGAAAGACCTTAGAAAGTTATAATCTTTATAACTTGCAAAAAAAGAGACCACAGACTCACCCTCATAACAACCCAGAAACTACAGAGGTTGATCTCATAAAGAACTCACCTGAAAAAAATAACAAGTTTGACTAGAGATTGTTAAACTATTAGATAACCCTAATTTAGGAAACGGGGAAAGGATTAGCCAGACGGGACTCCACTGAAATTTCACCACATAGGGAAAATGTCTTCTCTTATAAAAAGCAATACTTGGTTCAAATGTTAAGTGAAATAAACCAAGCACAGGTACCCTAAAGAGTCTAAGAAGGAACTAAAAATAAATAATTGATGGGTCACAAGAAAGACCATTAGACACTAAGAGTACTTTTAGAAAGAAACATGAGATGAAGTCCAATCCCTAGGAAAAAAAGATAGAAACCAGAACAGTAACAATTCACAAAAATATGTTTGTTTTTGTGCAGGCTGTTGTTATAAAGTTTATGATATGTTGACACAGTGGCAGAACAGCTCAGAAATTCTGGAGACGTTGACTTCTGTCTTCTATCTGCTCTGCTCCCTGTCAATAGTAGGCTAACACAATATAGCCTCGTAGACTAGTGTAAAGTGGTGCGTTAATTTTACAGACTTACTTAGCCAAATGAATCACTAAAGGGCTACAACTCTTGAAAACATATTGGGATCTGGATGAATTTTCGACTTCAGCTGCACATATTGATTACATTAAGCAGATAAATGCCATATCTTCAATTTATTTTATGTGGTACAGACAGCCACAGAAAATAAAGAATCAGATGCTGCAAGACAAAAGAATTCAAAAGTGAATGTGTGTGAATTATTGTACAAAAAAAAAGGACTAGTCAGTTTGTGAACAGATAGAGTACTTTCAATAACAACAAAAAGAAAAGTATAGAGGTATTTAATAACAACTGGTATTCATTATGAAATTAAGATATTTTAACATTTATTAATGAAAGCCTAGCATTGCGCAGTGTCAGTCTCATAGCCAATGAGGTTTAGCCTAGGCGCAATTATTGCTAATTGAAAACTTTTCCCAATACCCTGCCATGACAACTTGAAATATAGTCAGTGTTGGCAATTTTTGTCAGTCTCTATGGAGACTGAATAAAAACAAACAAACAAACAAACCAAAAAAAAAACAAGAAAGCCTAACGTGTTCATTGTATATCACTCTTGGATTGAATTAGGCAGATTTTAATTAAAAGATTACTACTAACAAATAATAATGATGAGATTTGCAGGGGCTAATGCTTAAACCAGGATATTTATGCCTTATTAAAATGAATTCCTCTAGTTTACAAGAGTTTTCTACATGTCAGAGCAGTGCAAAGAATTGCCTAAGATCACAGAACATTTTGGCCTAAGCAGACCTTATGACCAATCTTTTCTTACTGACACATAAGAGTTGTACATATTTGTGGGGCATGTGTGATATTTTGATAGACGTATACCCTGTCTGATGATCAAACGAGAATAATTGCGATTTCTTCACCTCAGACATTTATCATTTCTTTGTGTTGGGGGCATTCCAAATTTTCTCTTTTGGATATTTTGAATTATACAATAAAGTCTTGTTAACTGTAGTTGCCCCGCTCTGCTAATGAAGACTAGAACTCATTCCTTCTATCTAACTGTATTTTCGTACCAATTAATCAACCTCTCTTTATCTCTCCTTTGGTGCTCCTCTTCCCAGCCCTCTGGTAACCACCATTTTACTCACTGTCTCCATGAGATCAATGTTTTATTATCCAGCCATAAAAAAGAATGAAATCCTGTCATTTTCAGCAACGTGAGTGGAACTGGAGGACATTATGTTAAGTGAAATAAGCCAAGCACAGAAAGACACATATTGTATGTTCTTACTCATAGGATCATTCTTTTTGGTAACTGTGAAAACTGAGATGAATAAGGGTAGAGAAGATCAGGGGTGGAATTAGATCTCTATTTCCCAATAATTCTGTTTAGAGGTTCTTTTATTACATCCAACAGTTGTAACAGCTCATAAAGTCTAGGCTGAGTTTTGAAGAGAAAATTACTTTCTCAGAGGCAAGTTTCTAGACAACTGATAAAGTCTCCAACTAGGAGAAGAAACTGATTACATATAGTAGAGGGAACACTGGGAGTATGCTAATGACTTGAGAGATTAAAGAAACAATGGCTTCTAAATTAAGCTGATAACATATTAATTGGTGCAAAAATAATTACTTTTGCACCAACCTAATAGAAGAAGTTCCCTTTACTGTTGTGTAATAGTGCTTTGGCCATTAACAGCATTTGTGGTGAAGTTCAAGGAGGGTCAGACTGATAATTTATAGCAAGGCTCATGTTGTACAGGGAGTTGTCTTTAAACAACAGATAATTAACAGCTCAAGGCCAACTAAAGCACTAACTCCAATTCCTGGAGGTTGCCTAGCTCTTGGGATCCCCTTGCTTGAATGACATCCTGACCAGTGCTACAGTAAGTGACTCATTATGAAAGTCTTTATGTTGGTTTGGCAGGCACCTACATTCTCACCAAGCAGCTCACAGTCAATTTAAAAGTAAATGTTTTCGAAAATTTTACTGGTTTCCTTACTACTGCAAATTTAAAAGCAGCCTGAAGACAGCAGAAGCTGCTGATAAAACCTGGGCTGAACTAGTCTCTGGAATCTGACCCGTTTGGGAATAAGGGCGTTTCAAATGCAACCTTTCTGAGAAACCGTTGCTTAGCTGGTAAGTTTGTTACCAATATGAAGCTTGGACAACAGAAATAATGTGCTATCTGTAGGAGATAATGAGTGAAAGGAACTGAAGCCAAGGCCAGCACCTGCATAAAGTGTTTGAAGAATCTGAAATTTATGTTCCTAGAGAAAGAAGCAGGACATGAAAGGCTGGGAGATATTTTTGGAACTGAAATGGAAAACCAGTAAGGCAAACCAAAACTTAGAGGGAAAGAGAGATTTAATTTTACAGAGTAATACAGTTACGAACTACACTCACTGATTGTAAACCTGTCACCACATTTTGTTGTAGCCTTAAAAGATGACTTGCTATGCCTGGAAATGATCTTACGGTTACTGTTTATTTGATTAAAAGAGTCTCTCTGTCAAACCTGATCATGTCTTTCAGCTGCTCCCCATTGCTAGGAGTTTGTGTCCAAGCTTCTTAAGGCATTCTGAACCGTTTTCCATCTCTTTTCCTTACTTATCTCTCATTACATTCTTCCTTCACATCCTACACTTGAGCTATTGGACCACCCACTTGCAAGTCTCCAAACGGTGTGTCATAATGGTTTGTGTTCACTGGTTTTTCTTGTGCTGCTTCCTTTGCCTAAATTGCTCTTTTTATTCCTTCCCTTGACCCCTTATGAATCTGCTGTGTTGCAAAACTAAATTGATAAACTATTCCTAACCTACACCTCAGGGTAGAACTGACCATTCTCTCTTTAGTGCGTCAGTGCATCCCATAGTTGCTTAGATCATGGTAAGGATTCTACCTTAAGGCATTTGCTTGTTTGAGAGTTGGTCTACAATAGACTGCGAACAACGCTGGGTTAGGAACCTTCTCTGCTTTATGGCTATAGGTGTAGTTCTTAGCATCATGCTTGCATAGAGAAGATACTTGATATTTGAAGAATGAATGGATCAATCAACCAATCACTGGATACATACTTGATGAGATTGTTTTAATTATACTATTGCAGCATTATCATTGCTTTTAAATGTTTGTGAAAAATTTAAGAATAAGCACTGTACAAACTCTCTTTATCTTTTTCTTTCTTGGGCAGAAGAAACATTTTAGAGAATCTCAGGGTTAGAAAGGACCTTAAAAATAAATTCACTGAAAAAGAAAAATCAAGTTCCAAGTATAAGGATCATAACTGATGACATAGATATAATCATACTTATTAGGGGACAAGAAATACATCTCTAGAAAATCAAGCAAATAAGGAACAGATAAACACAGGTCATAGTTTGAAAAGACTTATTACATCCAGCGACTCAAAAGGCTGAGGCACGAGAATCACTTGAATCTGGGAGGTGGAGTTTGCCGTGAGCTGAGATCACGCCACTGTAACCCAGACTGTGGGACAGCGTGAGACCCTGTCTCAAAAACAAACAAACAGAAAAACTTACTACAGAGATTAAGGAAGTAAAAAAAAATAGTAATAAAATTTAGAATTCAAGGCACAAACAAGGAATAACAGAAGAAAATAAATAGACCAAGGCATAATAGGAATTGATTATCAAAATTTAAAACTAATAAAAATAATTAAATGGTTTCTTTCAAAAGGCATATTCTGTAGACTCTAGCAAAAAACTGGACAGTATTCACAAATAGCTTGTAATACTAATTTCTAGTGTTTTTCTCAATATAAGCAGTTGGTTCACTTGGATCAATCTTTATGCACCTTCTCCTCTCCTCTTACTTTTTCTCTGGCCAAAGTTACTACACAACCTGAGTATAAGACAGGACTTCTGATTCCGCCCTAAATCGTGGTGACGGTTCAGCACAACCTTTGGTTTTAGGCTCTTAAGACTGATAAGGAGACTGGAAAAGCCAGCATAGAGGAAGAATCCGTATCTGGCCTCTACTAGGCAGGGAGTCACAGTACTATTGGCAGTATCTTCCTTCTGGATCAGAGACACTATGAAAGACTTATGTCTTTGAGGTTTATAGAGAGCTTTCAAAACTATTTTCTATGATATGCTCGGTGGGATGTAGAGGGCGACTTTTTCTCCCATTTGTTTTCAGCAGAAATCACAGATTGATTTGCCTTAACACTATCCTTTGCTTCCGCGTGATTTATAAACTGCCTTGTTCCAGGAGGAACAGAATAGCCTAAAATGAAAATGACATGAAAAAAGAAAGGAACAATAGGTGGGGACTTAAAATGTAGCCAGGAATTACATAAAAATGAGTACAGTAATGACCTATACAGTTGTGATTGGGTATGGCTAAGATAACAGAAAGCAGAGCTAAAGGAAACACCTTTGATCACTGACTTCCTTGGGCACAAGTAGATTAATGGCCTTTTAAGCATTATGTAATATAGGGCCAGTCCTTGGAGAGAAAACTCCCTTGAAGAAGTTCCAAATGCTGTCAAGTTATAGAAGGGCACCACATTCTAAAGGCATATTTAAATCCAATGGCTTACTTTGCACAGGTAAAATTATAAAGATGTAACATTTAACTTTTTTTTTTTTAACAACATAGGTTAAATGTGACTTTGGCCATCAGCAGAACCGACTTTGAATCCATGGTGGTAAAACATTTTATGGAATTTGAAATATATGATGGAAAAATATACTCAGGAGATTTTTAATATCCAGAAATAAATTTGATAAATATATTTCCAAGTAAATCGCAAAAACATTAAAGCATTCAAAAATCAAAAGTTTATAATGGGAGAGGAGCAGCAGTATGTGGAGATGTGAATCATCAACTGACTTTGAAAATTTAAAGCATGTAAAAGCATTGACGTTTTGATGCTACTCAATGGCACAAAGGACAGAAAGGAGGCAGGTTTTATTTGTGTCCAAGTTATGATTTTCCAAGTTATTAATGATTGATTAATGACCCAGAGGATGACTAAGGATATGAGACTGCATGACAGCACATATGTGAAAGTGCTTTGTAAACTTTAACCAGCTGATGACGTTCACCATCATCATTAGGCTTCCATTACATGTCACATACTGTGCTTGTTGCTGCAATTAGGATAAGATGACACAGGCAGGCAGCTGGAGCCACACAAGGCAAGCTTTATGCACCAACGTCCTTTAGTGGTTGGGGGTGGGGTGACATAGAATGTGAGGGTCAACTTCAAAGGTTTAGTCAGTAACACACAGAAATTTTTATGTACTGTAATTCTCCTTCACCAAACCTGCTTTTCTCTGGATGTCTAGCTGGTAAAGAACCAAATTAACCATCCTTGCAAGCAAATGATATCAAGCAAGGCAGTTTCAGAGAGGTCCAAATTTCAAATAGTATTATCTTGCAAAGCCAGGCATGACTCCAGCCCTAGTTGGGGCATGCCCCTTTATGTATTCATACACAAAGCTGAGGTTAGGCTTGAGTTTGTTGTGCTCCAGATCCTGAGATGCCTCATTTCCTTTTT